GTGTGGGATCCTCGTAGGAAGGAAGAATTTTTCAGAATATGCTCTGTTTCATTTTCATTTTCAATGGGATATTCCGAAGCTAGTTTCAACATACAACTGTTCAGGAAAATGCGACCTGATGCCAATGTTTGGATTAAAACTGAGTTTTAGTCGAAATGGTAGTACACAGAGAGGAATGGGTTTTGATCAACTTATGCAGCTAGAGGGCTTCCTTTATGAGTTTCTGAGTGAGAGCTTTGGGCAATCCCATCACACTGTCAGTAGTTCCAACCTGAAAACACAATAACAATGGATGTTTATCTAATCACTAATTTAAAAAAACTGTTTCGTATTGTTAGTTGTTCAGCGTCAGAAGCATGTATTAACTGGATTGCCTATTGCTCTTCATTCTAAGATATTCTCTTATTTGCTTATTGCATTGTTATCATGGATTGACATAAATAAGCAAACTAACCACTTCTTTGACATAGGGCCTTATCAGAGGATGTTCAATGACCAGTGCTCCAGCTACATTGAGCACTGTACGTTCTTCTATCTGTATAAGAATAAAAGTATATCAGATAACACGTGCCACCACAAGCACAAGAGACTACAAAGGAAAGAGCTTTACCAGCTTTTTGATGACTTCCTCTGGAATTTCATGGAAATGAATCTGCAAGGAGTAATAGATAAATGGATTAACAAGCGGGGAAGAACATAATGCTGCATCACTTAGATTGCTGGCCACGGGTTGACATTATAGAGCACAATAATCACGAGTTAGAGAATGAAATTGCTTTTGCAGTCCAATATTCAGAAGGAAAGAATAGAAGTCAACACTACCTCTGCTCGGTCCCATTCTCCTTTTCTGAAACCTGTCTTGAGGTTTGTAACAAAAACTGATCCTACTGTTGCAGCACACCCCCCTGAATAGCCTGCAATCCATATGGGTAAATCACCAGAGCTTTCAAGGGATAGAAGTTAGGTCAATAGGTAATTGAAGTAGAGAGAGAGAGAGAAGAACCTTTTATAAATTGCCGTGCTTCTGTCTCATCAGATGGTTTTTCCCGGATGATACCTTCATAAACCACCACCTTGATATCATTTAATAATAACAGTAAGAAATAATAGAGATGGAAATGTTCTAGCAGACAAGACTATAATTTGGAGGTGTACAAACATGACATGTCACCAAAAGCCATGTTTAAGGTTATGTTGTGAATGCTTTGGGGCACAAAAGACATTGCAGCAGATATACCCACATAATCTTTTTCCCAGTGCATGCATGTGTTGGATAGGAAATAATGGCTCTTCCATGGAAATAGTGCCTCTAGTTTTAGCAGAAAGGCTGTTTCAGAATCTGACTAATTATCAAGACGCCTACTTCTTACAAAATATATAGAAAGACACCTACCTCTTACATTACAAAATATATAGAAAAATTAACTTGCAGAAGTCATGCTGTTTACAAAGAAATAGCAGGTGTATTGCAGATAAATTAAAAAAAA